TCGGACAAGAGGGTCCCGTAGAGGTTATCTTGTTGGTTGAGCTGGTCGAGGTTGGAATAGGGAGTTCCTTTCACCATCAGTATTCCACTTAGGCCGACCTTGTAGAAGGCAACAGGCAGCAACACACAACAGAAAGGAACTTTATAATTTTGGGTAACAGAACATTATTACTATTTCATACTTAATTTACTGCCCCTACTTTTAGAAAAGCAAAACTCCCAATACTTTCCCAATACCATCAGATAGTTTCCACTCAATTGAGAGTGAACAGGGCAAAGTGATCAAGTGAAAGTATGAATCTAAGGGTCCACAACTATATAAAGTAAATGAATCTTCTTTGGCTGCTTGTGACTAATGGAAGATGACAAAGTATTGTTTCCAGCCTAAGAAAATGATTGATAAGGAGAACCAAAAAACAGTAGAATACAGATGGACTTCAACTTACCTTGATTCTGATTAGTCCATCCGTTTGAAACTCCCAATCGACGATGTAGTCGTAGTTGGCCACTGATGCTGCCATCCTAACCACAAGCGTCACCTTCGGCCTCACCTCTCGTATCTGCCGTTTATCATCCATGCCAAAAATTTAACAAACACAGCAAAAACACACTGATCCAAAACTCAACCGGCAAATATTAGCACCTTATAAGCATATAATTAATGAAATCATATAACCACAGGGCAGGGCCCACAAGTCGGGCGAATACCTCCAATCCGGTTATCGGGCTTTCCGAGTGCCTCCACCCTATATCCCCAGCATAGCTCTCGAACACGCAGACCATATCTGACCGAACGTACGGAGTCCCATCGGCAGCTGCAAAAATCCCGTCCATGTAGTAAGCGTTCCTTGGGCAGTCGTTAAGGGGGTCGAGCGGCATGGCCTGAAGCCCGAACCCGTACTCGCCAGCATCCATGTAAGTCTTGAAATACCAAGCGTCAGTTGGGTCCATATACGGCACAAACAGCTCCGAGGCGAGGCCCTTGTACATCACGTTCCTCTTCAGGCCGGTCTCTGGGTCGAGGACCGTCGCGCGGGAGATGACCACCCCAGCCCTTGGGTCGGGCTTGAGGTGGAATTCCCAGTTGGCCCATTTCACGGTGTGGCCGTCCTCCACGGTGAAGCTTGGGCCTTTGGGCTGCTCAAGGGATATGGGATTGACCAGGCGCTGGTGGGAGTTTTGGGCTGTGAAACGGTAGTCGGTGTTGGCGGCTGCCGGTATTGGTATGTTTTTTCCTTT